ACATCCCAACTATACATAAAAAATGATGAGGTCTAAATTAGCTGTTACCACTCAAGAAAGAGATCTTGGAGTCATTGTAGCTAGCTCTGAAAATATCTGCTCCATGTGCGGCAGCAGGCCAGAAAGTTTAGGAATCATTAGAAAAGGGATAGATAATAAGACAGTAGATATAATGCCACTATATAAATCCATGCTATGCCCACATCTTGAATGCTGCATGCAATTCTGGTCACCCTATCTCAAAAAAGATACGTTAGAAATGGGAAAGGGAAACAAAAATGTTTTAAGGGTATGGAATAGCTTCTATATGAGGGGAGATTAAAAAGACTGGAACTGGTCAGCTTTGAAAAGAAATGATTGAGGGGGGAATATGACAGAGGTCTGTAAAACCATGAATGGTGTGGAGAAAGTGAATAAAGAAGTATTATTTAACCCTAAACATAACACAAGAACCAGGGGTCACCCAATGAAAACAATAGGCAGCAGGTTTAAAATAAACAAAAGGAAACATTTCTTCACACAGTGCACGGTCAACCTGTGGAACTCATTGCCAGGGGATATTGTGAAGGCCAAAAGTATAACTGGGTTCAGAAAAGAATTAGATAAGTTCATGGAAGGTAGGTGCATCAATGGCTATTAGCCAAGATGGTCAGGGATGCAATCCCATGCTCTGGATGTCCCTAAACCTCTGACTGCCAGAGGCTGGGACTGGACAACAGGGGATAGAATCATAGAATACCAGTGTTGGAAGAGACCCCAGGAGGTCATCTAGTCCAATCCCCTGCTCAAAGCAGGACCAATCCCCAGACAGATTTTTGCCCTAAATCCCTAAATGGCCTCCTCAAGGATTGAATTCACAACCTTGGGTTTAGCAGGCCAATGCTCAAACCACTGAGCTATCCCTCCCCCCAAAGTCACTTTTCCCTGACTGGAAAATGAACCCAGGCTGTGGCAGTGAAAGTGCCAAATCCTAACCACTAGACCACCAGGGATAGATCACTTGATAATTACTCTGTTCTGATCATTCCTTCTGAAGCTTCTGGCATTGGCCACTGTCTGAAGACAGGCTACTGGGCTGGCTGGACCATTGGTCCGACCCAGTATGGTCATTCTTATGTTCTGAACATAGAACTAGAAGACTGTCCCTGCCCTGAAGAGCTGACAGTCTCAAAATGCTTTATTGGACTGACTAGTAGAAAGTGTCTATGGACAAGTGGTAGTCCATCAATCCAACTGCTGGCCTGTTGGATTTAGCTGGGATGCAGGAACTCTAAATTCTAATCCTGCCTTTGACACTAACTCACTGAAAGGCCTGGGGAAAGCCACTTAAAACTATGTCTATGACATTGAGAGTTACTTTGTATCCTGCCCATCTCTTATCTGTTTCCCCACCTATAAAGTGTGGATGGTAACTATGCAGTGTGATAAGCACTGTGTATGTGAACCATACAGAGCTATGAGATGGCTAAATGCTGTGTTACATTTTTGTTTGATGCCTCTTGAGAGGATGTTATGTTCAACAGCAGCTCCTTTAGATCATTGAGGAATGATACTACCGAGCGCAGAAGGACAGTGACCAAAAAGAGGTGTGAAACAGAAAAAATGGGAGGAAGTCTGTATCGTTTGGGTTTTAAATATAGTTGTGGCAGGGAAGTCACTGGTGGGAAGGAAACATCCATCACATGGCTCATAGTCTCAAGTGGTCTTCGTACATGATTGGATTGCTATCACTGTGCATCACAGCCAGCAAATGCTTCTTCCCTAAGAGGAAGATGGGCTGTGCAGGAGTGTTGCCAGCCTGCTTCTGAGAGGTCATCTCCTGTCTTGACCCTCATGATACGATCTTATGTACGTTAATAAACAGAGGACAGGTCTTACTTGATCCTAACAAAGAGAAAGGGAGTGCTTTCTAGGGCTGCTGTTCCAGAAGCAGCGTGGTGAGATTTTTCTTGTACCAATACATCTGAATTTGCTCTGTCACAGTAAGCTACTCCAAGCAAAACTAGAGAACTCCAGGTTCTTAGCTTCAGAGTACGTCAGCTAACTGCCTGAAGAATAAAATGCCCTATTCAGGTTAAGATGCACCAGTCATTGTGGTATTTGAGTACCCGAATCCCTGCAGAGCTGCCAGACTAGAGAAAACTTGTGCAAGGGATTTTGAACACCAACTCCAGCAGCTCTCTGGGCACTTTGCAGGAGTGGGACAAAGATCTAGCCAGATGTTCTGCAAAGTGTACAGAACCATGGGCCTATCAACCCACTTATGCAGGACCTAGTAAAAGTGATATTTCTGCTATGCCCACATAGCTGAAACATGCCCCCTGCTGTAGGTTGGGGATGAAGATCATTCCTCAGTTCCATGTGCATTTGTCTGGACTGTGCACTCTACCAGGATTTTACCCTTTAACAGCAGCCATGATCCACTTTGGAAGCAACTTCCCATCTGTGATGAGCATTGTGATGCCTATCTATAGAATCTGTAAAGGGGCTATGTAAATGTAAGACATTAATTACTATTTTTGCTTAGTGCTACTCTCTTCTGCGTAATGTGGGCTCACAGTAATTTAGAGATTGGCAACTGTATCGGTGCAAAGTCTTAATAGTCCTTTGTCAAAGCAAAAGTGATGTTTCCTATCCTGCATGTATCTGTACTCTGGCCAATGAACAGAGCAGGTTGTTTTTTTTATTTTTCTGTTGCAAATTGTGTGACTAGATAATGAGTTTTATTCATTATTTGGCAAACAGTTTGTGCATCAGTTTCAGTCTGTGGCTTGCTCCTGAGCTGCAACCAGGGCCGGCTCCAGGCACCAGCTTCTCAAGCAGGTGCTTGGGGCGGCCTTTCCGGACAGGGGCGGCAGTTCCAGGTATTCGGCGGCAATTCGACGGAGGGTCCGTCACTCCGCCTGGGAGTGAAGGACCTCCCGCTGAATTGCCGCCGGAGATCGCGATCGCGGCTTTTTTTAGATTGTGGCTTTTTTATTTTTTATTTTTGGTTTTGGCTGCTTGGGGTGGCCAAAACCCTGGAGCTGCCCCTGGCT